TACTGTGGATACTGGACACTTCATGCAAGAAAATGGGCCCTGGCTTGGTGAGACAATGGCACCATTTTAAAAATAACAGTATGGCACTGTACTCACTCAAAACTGAAATACTTTTAGCGTAGTGACTGCTTCAATATCGCAAATCTAACCTACCTCGCCTACCAGGTGCAGATCCAGGAATATCAAAGATGGGGAGTCCAAGAAGTTGTGGGTGGGGGAACATGGTGAGTGCAGTGCATCCACCCAGCAGGGGGGTTCTTGAGGGATGCTGTAAGCACCCCCCCCCCACCCCCCCAGAAGATTTTTTGAAATCTGACTAATATCTTGGGCATTTTGAGGCCATTTTGAAGCCATGCACACTTGATATTAGGAGATATAAGAAAGTCAATAGTAAATACTTTTTACTATACAAAAATGCCTGAGTACAATACTGCTTTAAAGAAAAAGTATTGCAATTTTCTGGTGAAAGGGGGGATGGGGGTCTGGACCCCCAGCACCCCCCATGGATCTGCCCTTGCCTACACTCACTAAGTCCTATTTTCTCACTATCACACATGTTTTGAAAGTATTATCCTTCAATTTGTGGCACAGTATTGAAATAGCTATGTATATACTGTACTACACAATACTGTACTGTACAGTATATACAGTACAAATAATACAGTACCTTTTGGTGTAAAGAAAATGACATGAAATACCCAGCTCCTGGAACAGTGTACAGTACAGTACAGTACAGTTCAGTTCAGTACACTAAAATTGGGAAATGTTTACAAAGCATCATGATAATGAATGAGAGAAACCCTTTGGGCCGTATGGAGTACAACCAATCTATACTGTACATCAAGAATGACTTTAAATTTATACATGAATAAACCTCAGAGAAACTGAGTATTTGCCATCATACTTACCCTAAATATGTATGTAATATCACTCCATCGATGAACATTATAATCATTTAAGAAGAATCAAAGTTAGAAGATGAAAATTGTAGTCTACTTATATTGTATAGTGCATACACTGTGTGTGTGTGTGTGTGTGTATATATATATATATATATATATATATGCTGATAACCACAAGGAAAGAAGAAAACACGAAGTTCCCAAGCGCTTTCGTGTAATTCACATCTTCAGGGGTGAGTACAGACTAAAGAGAAATACAAACCAAGGTGTATATATACAGAGGAGGGTGAGACCAGGTCCACAATGGTCAGGTGTTAGGTAATGACCCTACTAATCTTTAAATAGCACACAACGGTTGGTGGTCAGGTCAGAGGGTAAGGTGACCCAACTTTCTCACCTGGTTACAAATCTTCTTAATTACAAAATTGTCCAGCTTGTACATGCCATTACTCAAATTCATGTTGAATGCTTCGGTATGTTTAATAAGACTAGATTCTATGATGTTCCTACTATCAATTGAATTACAAGGTAATATTGAGGAGGCATTATCCCAGTCAATGCAATGCTTGTTGTCCCTCAAATGAACAAACAGAGCATTGCATTCCTGGCCTGTCCTAACACTGTATTTGTGTTGTTTAATTCTAGTTGCAAGATGTTTACCTGTCTGGCCTAAATAAAACATATTACATTCCTTGCAAGGAACTTTATAAATGCAACCAATTGTGTTGTTGGAGGAGTTCTTGATTAACATTTGTTTAACAGTGCATGAGTTTTTAAATGCCACATTGACGTTCCAGGTTTTTAGTTGTGAAGGAATGTGTGAGAAATTTTTGTGGAATGGTAATATTAAGATATTCTTATGGTCATGGGTGGGCTTAGGATCAGTTCTATAAAAAGTTTTCTTAGTAATGAAAGATCTAGGGTATTTAAGGTTTGAGCCAATATTATAGATATATTTGTATTCCTCATCAATGAATTCTACGGGACTACCAGAATTTACTCAAATAACGTAAAACATTCCTTCACAACTAAAAACCTGGAACGTCAATGTGGCATTTAAAAACTCATGCACTGTTAAACAAATGTTAATCAAGAACTCCCCCAACAACACAATTGGTTGCATTTATAAAGTTCCTTACAAGGAATGTAATATGTTTTACTTAGGCCAGACAGGTAAAGATCTTGCAACTAGAATTAAACAACACAAATACAGTGTTAGGACAGGCCAGGAATCCAATGCTCTGTTTGTTCATTGAGATAACAACATTTATGGCCCCTGGGGATAATGCCTCCTCAATATTACCTTACTTCATTCAATTGATGAACATCATAGAATCTCAATGTATTAAACATACTTGAAGCATTCAAATGAATTTGAGTAATGGCATGTGTACAAACTGGACAATTTGTAATTAAGAAGATTTGTAACCAGGTGAGAAGGTTGGGTCACCTTACCCTCTGACCTGACTACCGACCGTTGCGGTGCTATTTAAAGATTAGTAGGGTCATTACCTAATACCTGACCATTGTGGACCTAGTCTCACCCTCCTCTGTATATATACACCTTATTTTGTACTTCTCTTTAGTCTGTACTCACCCCTGAAGATGTGAATTACACGAAAGCGCTTTGGGAACGTCGTGTTTTCTTCTTTCCTTGTGGTTATCAGCATATACCTAGATCACGCACACCTACAGTGATTTACTTGCATATATATATATATATATATATATATATATATATATATATATATATATATATATATATATATATATATATATATATATATATATATATATATATTTCATTAGCCCAATAAAGCACGCGGACTTCTACATACAATCAACACCTCAACCCGCCAGGATTCGAACCCACTGCCCACGAGCCCATGACTGTGACCGGGAAACGCTAACCGCTGGACCACCGGGATAATAAAAGCAGTCCTAGACTCTGTTATATTTCACACGTTACTCTGACCACCTACGTGATACGGGTAGTCCCCATAAGAGGTTCACGGCGCCATAAGCTTGTTGAACAGGCTTTGTGTGAAATATAACAGTCTAGGACTGCTTTTAGTATCCTGGTGGTCCAGCGGTTAGCGTTCCCCGGTCACAGTCATGGGCTCGTGGGCCATGAGTTCGAATCCTGGGGGGTTGAGGTGTTGATTGTATATATATATACACACAGTACAGTATAATCTGGATTTACGCGGTTTTTGTTTACGCGTTTGGTCATTTACGCGGTGCCTTGCCAGAATGAACTGTTTTAATTACACAGTAAATTTGGTCATTTGTGCGGCGAGGTCCAGACGCGCTGCGCCATTTTTTACTCACGCGGTCCATTCTTGACCATACGCGGGTAGCGGCGCGGTGAGGGGTGTGCATTAGGCTGCTCTTATGTTATCGCTGACGTCACATGACGTATCGGACTGTGATTGGGCCACGCATCCTTACCACCCACGCATTCCCTCCGCCGCTAGCCGTGATTGGTCTAATGTAACATGACGTGCCCTGCCACCAGAGGGTAGAAGTCGCTGACCTAGCCGGGCCAGTCTCATTGTTCTCAGCCCGCGTATACAGTTCTCTCTTGTGCCCGCTATTCCCCTCACAATGGCTTCCGCTAGACCCCCACCACCCGAGAAAAACCTTGAATTACCTGGACCAAGCCATGATTGTGTGAAGGAAATCATCGAGTTGGGGGAGAAAATTAAGCTCATCCTTGACAACGACCCAGACAAGCATCGGTATGAAGTGTCTAATAACCATCTGACGAAAGTTATGGAGCCGTATATCCAGTTCTATCTAGACAACATCAATGCTAGTCGTCAACTTAGTATTAAGGACTTCTTCGCCCGCAACCCACCACAACCACAGCCAGCCCAAGTCAGTGATAGTGACAGTGAGGATATGGACTTTGAGGGGTTTGTCTGGGAGGCCCTGCAAACCTCTGCGAGTAGTGAAAGTGATTCACCGGAGGGCAACTAATCTGCCCTCTGCCTCGGGACCAGCCGCCATCCACATGTGCCGACCCATCTCTTCTACTAACGTAAGTGTTAAAAAACCTAATATTATTGATATTTCTCTTAAATATTAATTGTGTGTGCATACCATCATAAAATTAAGATGTTATTTTTACTACAACGTACGTATTGTGTCGGAAAAAGTGGAGTTTGGGGGTCGGCCCAGTCTCTATTTCAATTAATCCCATATGTTCTGTTATTTCGTTTGCGCGTTTCTCGTTTTACGAGGACCTCCACGGGTTCAATTGACCGCGCAAATGCAGACTATACTGTATAGGGTATATTTGTTCGTTCTATCTTGACCTTTATAATAATATTAATACTGTACTGTAGAGAGTAAGATGTCTTGCTGCTTCATCATATTCAAATGATAGAAAAATCAAGAATCTTCTATATAATGTAGTGTAGTGTACAGTACTCTATAGTTAGAGCCAGTCAGTTCTTCTGCTATTTCTATAAGGTGTCAACAATGGTGACACCTTTGGCACCAGTTTCTCATGAGTGGAATAGATTTTAATTTCGATCAAACTCATTATTATTGCAAGTACTGTACTGTACAATTATGATTATTTTTATTATAGAGAATCACGGTTTCCTTAAAAACATTTTTAGATTATTTTATCATGGGTCAGACAACTGATTTTTGTGGGAATGAATCTCTTAATTTATTATGGTAGTCAATGGGAAAATCTGCTTCAGATTACAGATTTTTAACTTAGACTGATTTTAGGAACATAAGTCTTCTGTATATCAAAGTCTATCTAGCCTAAAGAGAAGTTTTCAATTATGGACACTTATCAAAGCCAATAATTCCATAAACCTTTCTGTCAATCAGTTTGGATTACCGTAGCTCTATGAAATTGACTCAACTATCTTAAGAAAAATACTTGACAGCATTTATGGTTAAGGATACAGGTATTGAAATCTAAACAAAATACTGTACTGTGTTTGTAGCTTACTGTAAATGTGTGTTGTACTGTAGTTGAGCTTTGAGAAAAAGTATAGTAAAAAGTTTTAAGATGAAAGACAGGAGAGAAAATATATGTAAAGTAATAAATGATGGTCAAAAGGCCATTTTTACCTGGTTCATGGACCTGAAGGGATGGAGAGTGGGGTTCTGAAGAGTCTGGTGAGGAGACATAGCCATCACCAACATAGTCTTGAGGAGAGAGGGCAGGGGGGGGCACAGTAATAGGGGCAGTAGGGACAGCAGCCAAGCCTGAAGGTGTCTGAGGAACCACTCCCATACTTGACCCCATGATAGGGTTGTCAGGGGAGGACGGTGTCTCAGGAGAAAGGCTGTTGCTGTTGCTATTACTGTTGCTGTTACTATTGCTGTTACTAATGCTGCTGGTACTGCTGTTGTGATCAGCACTTCCACTACTGCCCCCATTACGATTTGCAGCATTGGCTTTAGCATTTTCATCAACTGGGATGCCATTTTCATTCAGGAACTCATCGAGATCCATATATTCCAGCTGCAAAAGAGAAGAAAAATCACATAAGTAAAAGGAATAAGCAAGACAAAATAAGTAAGAAAAAATCTATCCAATATTGCATATTTTCCACAAGTCAGCACATCAATTACTGTATGTATGTAGCTAATGTCATAACTACTACTAACATCAAGAGACAATGAAGCACTAAATAGTAATAAATGATATATGGAAGTTGTATTTTTATGCAATGTTTTTCACACACTGTGCATGTGTGTTATACTCTTTCAAACATTTTCCCACATAATGCAGGGTTGCCAGTAATGGACACACACACAAACTGGTGGCCTTCACTCATCCCTACTTCTCCAGAAATAAAACAAAGACCTCGGATCCAAATCATCTTAAATTGTAACTTAAGATTTTCTATACATATAATCTAAGACTTTATACTAAGAGAAGTACAGTAAATTACTCTTTATAGACACCAAATTATATGGTTTTCTACAGAATAAATTGTACAGTAAATCATTAAACAAAGATACTATATATAGATATTAAACAACAACAAAAGAGAAAAAAATTAACACAACCCAAAAGTTATTTAAGGATTGGGATGATTGAAAGCGTTTTACATCATGTTACACTATTCTGCTTCCGACAGTTCTGGGGTTAACTGATAAGGCTTCCTACAACTATTACTGTTTAAAATTATTCAATGCCAAAGTAAACTACTGTATATTTTGAGCCACCAGTGAGGAAATGTGTGATTTATACACATATAATAAAACCTTTTTAAATAAAATTGTTAAATTAAACAGTCACAAAATAATTTGCTTTCCAAACACATCTTGAAGCTTTTCTCATATATACAATTAAGACATTAAATTAACCACCTTATTTGTCATTTGTAAAAATGTTTTGTTCTTTCGTTATACAAAAAAGTATTTCTGCTGTACTGTACTGTGCTATTTAGATAACATTAAAATGAAATGCCTATACAGTATTAACAATGTTATCATTAATTCTATACAATGTGGAGGATGAATTAAAGTTTATAAATCTTCTTGAAAATATTATGGTTCTAACATTTCACTTATACTAAGGAAGATCCTAACATTCAAATTCAGTATGTGAGCACTTGAAGATACTGCATCATTCAAATGGTGCCGACCCATTATTATTTATCTAGTTCTTCAAAAGGAACCCTGTTACCACAGTACTGTACTTTACAACAGCCAAAAATAAAAAAACACAATTACTTAATTACTTATAAACTTCACGCTTAACTTAAAAACATTTAGTGTTAAGTATATAAACTTACAGAGACTTTAAGATCGGAGTCGTAGGAGAGCGTCTTGTCCCACAGTGTTGGGCCAAGAAAAGCTGCTCCTGCATTGTATTGCTCCCACTCCCCGCCCTCTTTCTTCTCCTCTCCATCTTTTCCACCACTCTTTCCTGTAACAACACAATACAATATTAATATAAAACACAAAATAATGATATATTCAGTTACACTTAAGATAAAAACAACTACTTAACATTATAAATCACTTTTGCTGAATCTTATATACAATAGTGTTTGTCAATACTACTGCATTAGTATGGCTTGGGCAGTGCTCCAACCTATCACGTGACAATGAGACATAGTACTTACCGTATAATGAAGTAACTACCCCTCTTATATTGTATAGTTACACGAGAAAATATTCCCTAACGTGTCTATTCAATAGTCTTGACTTTAAATACCGTATATATACTGTCAATATGCCGGTAGATCGCATACTATAGAAGCACCCTTATGTCCTTGTTTATTAATACAATAGTTGTTGTCTAATAAATGTATACCTATTGTTGTTTTTTTTACGGGGATTAGCCCACCCGGGAACAGGTCATTGACCCACATTGGGGCCTGGGGGGCGAAAATGTAACAATAGTAATAATAATTAGTCATAGTAAATAAACTATATAATTAAAAATTGAAAATATAATAATAAAATAATAATAATAATAATAATAATAATAACACTAATAATAATAATAATAATAATAATAATAATAATAATAATAATAAACAAAATTAAAAACAAAAGTGAGAAACAATATATGTATGTTAAGTTGTCAAAGCAAGAGAAACAATTGAAACCCTGCAATTGTGTGTAAATGAGGCAGAAAGTCAAATCAACAACCTGGGACTTGGTCACAGTTTTTGTGGTGTCATATGGCAGCAGGGTCTACCATTAGACAATAGAACACATACTTAAATAACTTGTCCGTTCAAGCACATATATACATACAGTATAAACAAGTTAAACAACAATTAATGTGCAAATTACTGTACTTTTGTACAGTACCTACCTGTGCACCACAGTACCTGTACACCCACAACTATATGCTGACACAACAAAGGAAAATTTCAAACGATATTCTTTGACATCCTCAGTAAGGCCCAGAGTATTTTTGGGAGTTGTCTCAAATAATATACCTAGCCTGTGAACAAGGCAGAAGGCTCAAACTCATGTACAGTGGACGACAAAACTATCTTCCCAGTTTTGGATGAATGTGTCGGGGAATACTGGAGCCACCCTCTGGGAACTTCGTCAACAGAGGGATTGATCCTCATGACTGTCAAGTATATAAATTACCACATTAACCAATTTGGGACGTTTCAAACCATGACATGCTTCATGTTCCGTATAATGAGCTTCTCGTCTCAGATGAATCATGCTAGCCAGTCAGACATACCAACTGTTCATACTATGGAGCCGAGGAAAATCTTTGAATATATTACACCAACTTTAAGGAATCATCAGACAAAACGAAGAAGAGAGTTTTGCCGCTTACTGTACATACTTGAAACATATCACTACTATATATCAGAATGTTCAATGATAAATAAAAGGATACACTGTACAGTATACTTTAAACGAGGTAATAACTGTATGGTGGGAGAGGTGGGCTAGGGTGTATAGTTGGATGGGTGGAGTGATGGGATGAAGCAGGTGGTGTACAGTACAGTATATAGTTAGTTTACTCAGGGGAAGGAACAGAAAATTGCTCTCTTTTGTTTAAAGGGATAGTTCCCTTAAAAGAGAAGGCGGCTTAATAAACCTGGAGGAACAAACACACATAGTTAGCCTTGTACCCCAAACGAAAGATAAAAGTACTGTAATGTACAGTACATTAAATAGTCGGTGGGGTTGCGGGCACCATCCGCACAACCGTGGGCAGCAGCATCAGGTGTGCCAACCCTGCCGGTGGAGGTGGGGTGGCTGGCTGAAGCGCACAACTCGACCTTGAGCTAAAGTTGCTACTGCACGACGCCCGGCCACGGTCACCAGCCTAAAGTCGAACATCCATAATACCAACTGATAGAATACTCATTTCAGGTTGATCAGACAGCCACCCGAACATTGATCCGCACCATCATACTTACCCACTGTGCTGCCCTATAAATACACACCCCGGAGGACCACAATGGGGCCACATTACCCGAAGTGGCCGGTGTCGTGCGACAAACTTTCCGGGGTAAATGCTTAGTTTTGGATATTAAATTTAATTATTTTGTAATGTTAGGTCAGGATTCCTTGGGTTTGATTGGTTAATTTTTTTGTGTTCTTAACCCACAATTTCCATCGACTTCAAAGCACTGCCCACTTTGTGCTTTCATTGTCTTTGGTAGTATGTTTCGTATCATCCTTATACTGTGGTCAGTTTTCCCAAGATATAATGGAAAATTCATTCAAAACCTTCCGTTACCGTATTTATTAATATTTTCAGCTCTCACAAATCAATCATACATCTTACATGTCAATAATGAACATCAGTATTTGCTGAGCCCGGAAGGTTTATCGCACCGGAAGATCTATTGCATGGCACTGGGCCGGAAACCCCCAAAAGAGACCGACTACAATTACTGATGCCTAACTGGAAGCCGCGTCCATATTAAAAGTTTGGTAGACAATAGTTAAAACAATAACATCATGTTATTACAATATTTTATTTATTTGTTTATTCATTTGGATTATTTTCATTTTCATTCTTTAAAATTCATGTTTATCTATTCCATCACATAAAACTATGTTCAGCAAGAAGCGTGATAGAAATTAGGCTCGCTACTCCTTGAAATTCATGAATACTCGCCACCCCACCCTCTTTGGTAGTTATAATGAGGGGGGCGTCCACAAAGAGGCTGCCCATGGGCCTCCACAGGTCTAAATCCGGCAGTGATAACATGTCTGGTAAACAGTTCTAGCATAACATAATGAGCTAGTTCTATGTGAAATGGGGGAAGATAAACAAAACATTCACGCCACACTTGTCTCTCGCTGCTGGACGCCGGCCACGTGCAGGTACTAGGCTGCCAGCTGCCCCAAGTGTTGAGATCATTGTTGCCAATTTAACTAATTTTACTTTTGTTTTTCAATTTACAACCATTGTTCTCCCCTTCACTTAAACACCAGCGAGGCTGATGGTAACCTTTCAGACAAAGTCCCGTCTCTGTCGTGGTCAACCCCGTGACGTATACAACTTACACCCCCGTACTTTGTTTACTGAGACACACACACACACACACACCCCATACTTTTACCTTGAGTTTCATTAGATGGAACAACGCTTTATACGTAAGATGTAAAATATACATATTTGAAGCCAAAGATCAAAAGTAGATATTTCTATTCTGATAGCATTACTTTGTTTCGTTTTAGTTTCTACACCTTTAATATACCTGCCTGTGCATGTCCCATGGTTGAAAACAGACATTCTCATGATGTAGCTGTGAAGTCACGCTTTAGTAGCAACCAGCCTGAAATAATTCTAGATTATACACCTTAACACACATTATTACCATTAACACCAATAGTCAGTTTCTACAACTTAAAAATGACACTGAAATTTCACTGAAATTTACAAGGACAGTAGCTACAAGCGTACAAAACATCAAGTCAGCAGAACAACTGTAACGAATAACTTTGTTCTTCCGAGAAACTGTACACTGACACCTTCCAAGAGCGTCCCTACCTGACACGGTCGACCCTGTACCCAACTAATGGTCATATTATAGTAAAATATTCTTCGATGGGTAAAAATTAAGCCAGAAATCACACGAGTGAATGAAGCCACGATTACATCCACTCCACTTGGACAACTCCCACCAGGACGATCACTGTTTTAATCTAACCTAATCTAAACCCACCCAATCCAACCTAACCTAACCTTAACCTAATCGCCAAAGTGGGATGGCAAAATTCGCATAAAACAGACGATCGCCCACATGGGAACAGTTCAAGTGGGATGACACCTCGGTCACAAGTCACCAGGGAATTGTATGAATAACTAGTGAGGGGAGCATAAAGGGGCAGGTGTGTTAGGCTGAGGGGTGGCAGGTGTGTTAGGCTGAGGGGTGGCAGGTGTGTTAGACTGAGGGGTGGCAGGTGTGTTAGACTGAGGGGTGGCAGGTGTGTTAGGCTGAGGGGTGGCAGGTGTGTTAGGCTGAGGGGTGGCAGGTGTGTTAGACTGAGGGGTGGCAGGTGTGTTAGACTGAAGAGAGGGGAGGAAGGTGGTGACCCAGGCCTTGTTGCTAGGGTGCACCACCACAACAAATACGCCCCATCGATCCCAGCCACCCACACACACTCCCTCGCCTCGCTTTACACTACTTCAATTTTTCAGTCATGCTGGTCCTCACTATCACCACCACGACCATGTTCACCCCCTGGGCCCTCACTTCCTCCCCCTCCAGCACATCACCTTGTTCGTCAAAGGACAAGTAATGACCATCGACCTTGGCCGTCACAGTTTGCCTCAACAAAGCCACACAACAACCTCCGTTAGCAGTAATATTAAAGACAGTTTCATGATGGTGAGGAAACTTTGTATTATTTGTTTATAAAGTTGGTGTTACAGGCGGGTGTCCCCAGACGCACAAGTGAGGGAAGAGAGGAGTTGTAGACACAAATATGGAAGTTCAGCCAACAGCAGTAGCAGCACCTGCGCGAGAAAGTAGGTCATCAGTTGGGACTTTTAAAGACGACCGCTGAGCTGCACAGGTCGACGACTCTTCCTTACGACTTTTGATTCTGTTTACAGAAGAGTCGTCCGGAGGGAAAGATGATAATGACCACTGTTGGAGTGTGAGGGGGGGTAATGTATACAAGAGACCAGCTGGTGATGAGGAGACGAACGGTGTGGGAAGGACGAGAGTGGTGGGAACATGAAGACACAAGATGGGAACACAGTACTGTGGAAGGGAGAGATGTTAGGGGAGCAACAGTAGTTCCCTCACCTGCTCTCTCAGGCCAACAACCCGCGCTTCTCACCACGCACCTCACAACACCCTCACCACAACACCCCTCACCTCACAACACCCCTCACCTCACAACACCCCTCACCTCACAACACCCCTCACCTCACAACATCCACCCTCACCACGCACCTCACAACATCCACCCTCACCA